TATTCTCTGGTCTCCATTTCTTTCTCACAGTAAAAACAATCATGAAATATTAATTTAGTGTCTCTCTCATCTCCTGGGGTTCAACACAAAGATGACCCCCTCGATCTTTAAGAGGCCCTACCCTCTCTCTAGTTACCTGCTTATTCTTAATGTATTTGTTGTATCTCTTTGGATTATCCTTAACCTTATCTGCCAGTGCTATCTCATATCCCCTCTTTGCCTTCCTGATTCCTTTCTTAAGAATGCCCCTGCACTCTTTATATTGATTAAGAGTTTCAATTGAACCAAGTTGACTATATTTAAAATAAGATTCTTTTTTATTCCTGATCTAGGACCTCTATATCTTTATTCATCCATTCTCCCTTAATCTAACCAACCTTACCCTTCACTTTAATAGGAACATGCTGCCTCTGAACTCTTGTCATCACACCCTTGAAAGTTTCCCACTTGTCCTTTTCCCTGTGAACAGTCTACTCCAATCAACTTTTGAAAGCTCTTGTTTCATGCCATCAAAATTTGCCTTACTCCAATTAAAAACTTTAATTTTTATGGAAGGCTTATCCTTTTCCAAAACCATTTTGAAACTAATAAAATTATGATTGCTAGACCCAAAGTGTTCCCCCGCTTTTACTTCCTGGCCTGCCTTATGTCCCAAATTTGAGGATGCTCCCGTTTTTTCAGAAAATGTCCCCCAGTGTCCTGACAAGGTTCGTGCAATACATCAAAATTTCCTGGTTTTCAGGTTTTTCATTTTTGTTAAATATACATGGATCTGGATGGAGAAAATCTCTATGAGAGTTCACAATAAAAACATCCCATTCCATCACATAACATTGCCTGTAGCAGAAAAGTGTATCACAAAAGTGACAGTCCTTGACATCAAGGCCATGTTTGACTGACTGCAGCGTCAAAGAGCCCTGGTAAAACTAGACTCAGTAGCATTTGGGGGAAAGATGTCTGCTCTTTAATGTCATACTTGGCGCATAGGAAGATGGATATGATTATTGGAAGTCAGTTATCTCTGCTCCAGAATACTTCTGCAGGAGTTTCTCAGAATAGGGGACTAGGCACAACCATTTTCAGCTGCTTCAGCAATGATCTTCCCTCCATCATAAGCTCAAAAGTAGGAATATTTGTCAATGTTTGCACAATGTTCAGCCCCATTCATGACTCTTCAGCTACCAAAGCAGTCCATGTTCAAATGCAGTAAGACCTGAACACCATTCAGGATTGGGTTGGCAAGTAGCAAAGACCATCTCCAACAAAATAAAATCTAACCATTATCGCTTGACATTTAAGGTATTAACATCACTGAATCCCAAACTGTCAACACCCTGGGGTTACCATTGATCACGAACTGAATTTGACTCACCACATAAATACTGTGGCTACAACAGCAGGTCAGCGGCTATGAATCTGGCAGTGAATAACTCACCTCCTGACTGCCCAAAGCATATATATCATCTACAAAGCGCAAGTCAGGAGTGTGATTGAATAATCTTCATTTGCCTGGATGACTGCAGCTCAAACAGCACTCAAGAAGCTTGGCACCATCCATCCTTTCCTTATTCATTTGTGGGAGATGGACATTACTGGCTGGGCCAGCATTTTTATTACCTGTCCCTGGTTGCCCTTGAGAAGGTGATGATGAGTTGCCTTCACGAACTGCGGTAGTTCGCATGCTGTAGGTTGACCCAGAATGCCCTTAGGGAGGGAATTCCAGTGACAGTGAAGGAATGGTGATATATTTCCAAGTCAGGATGGCGAGTGGCTTAGAAGGGAACTTGCAGGTGGTGGTGTTCCCATGTACCTGCTGCCCTTTTCCTTCTAAGTGGAAGTGGTCGTGGGTTTGGATAGTGCTGTGTATGGATCTTTGGTGAATTTCTGCCATGCATCTTGTACATAGTGCACACTGCTGCTACTCAGCTTCTGTGTCTACATCAACCTACTATTTATTAACTATAAATTTACTATAGAAATTCACTAAAGCTCTTCACTCAGCACTTCCAGACACAACCACCACCATCTAGAAGGACAAGGGCAGCAGAGATTACAATGCAAGTGAATTATATAACAATGTTGTTCTGACCTCATTTCTTCCTGTGCCCATCCCAACAGAAAGCCAAATTCCTACACACTTCACTCACCTTCAAGTTTCCAACTGACTAGCTTTCCTCTCTTCATTTGACACAATATTTGTGCAACTGTTTATTTGTTCAATCTTTCCTTTATCTTCAACTTTTGGCAAAATCTTCACCCTTTCCCATTCTGCCCATTCCCCCTCAGAACAGTCCATATCATTACCCTCCCAGCCCACCCTATTGTAGGGCCTATAGACTTACCCAAAACATGCACACAATTGTTTCAGCATTAATCAACAGATTTATATTGATATCACATCAAGCAAAATCAATCGCCATTCCCATTTGACTAAACAGTATTATTTCAGGATTATTTTGGGGATCAAAGAAATCTTTCTTTTGCCTAATACCAGCCTATTTCTCTATCTTTTCTACCCCCATCTTCAAGACGAGCAAAGAGCTGGTGGACATCTTTGCCATTATTGTTGGGACCATCTACTAAGTTGCCTCTATTACATCCTCTGAGCCCCTGAACATAAAACCAAACCTACCCCTAAACCTCCCACTGCCTGAGTCCTAATCTTGTTTCCTCTGTCATCTCTCTCCTTCTTTCCGTCATATCTTTTCCTGGCCCATCAGTTCTGAAGAAGGGAGACTGGACCCGAAACATTAACTCTGCCTTCTCTCCACAAATGCTGCCAGACCTGCTGAGTTTCTCCAGCAACTTCTAATTTTATTATGGATGGGTTTGATGTGCAGTCGCTGGAACATTTTCCAAAATTTCAAGATATATTTAGCTTTGCTGAGATATACGTGTTGTTCATTTGAAATGAAATGTGCAAATGCATTGTTGAGATTTGAAACTGACACTACTTTGAGGACCGAGAGTATTGCTGAGATTTGACATTCACGCAACTAGAGAAGATATAGACATTCAAATATGAGATTTGTTCAGTTCATGAGTTAGAAGCTGCGATCTTCCATCCATCTTCAATAAATGGGATGTGTGGGTGCTGACTTCTGTCCCAAAATGTACACAATTCTCATTAAGTTCTGCCCCATTGTCCTGAGTCATCTAATTTAGCTAGTGGGTGAAACCAGACTGGAATGATCTGTGGCAACTAATGAGCACTGAGTAAACCTGACAAATATTCCAAGAGCATTATTAAATACGCATAGTCTTTGGCAACAGTCTGACATGACACCAGCCTGTTTGCAACCTTGGGAGTCAAAATTTACCACAAGATGATATTTCGAGGCCATAATCATGAAAGCTCCTCCAAGATCGGCTATTTTTGTCTCCACAACATCAACCAACGTCACCTTTGTATCATCTGCTCTTGAAACCATCATTCATTCCTTAATTATCACTCAGCTTAATTATTCCAACACACCTCCAGTTAATTTCACACATCTGACTTCCAACAAACTTCTAGTCACCCCTTTGCTCACAGAAATATTGGCCCACAGCCAAGCAAGGTCTTGATTTTAAAGTTTTCGTCCTTGTTTTCAAATCATTCCCTGGTCTCACTCCTCCCTAATGCTTCTGTATCCCCCGGCCCCTCCAGCTACTGAGATATCTGAGCTTGTCTCATTCTGGCCACTTGAGCAAATGGATTTGAGTGCTGTACCATTGATAATGATGCCTTCAGCTACCTAAGTCCTGGAATACCTTTCCTGAACTTTCCTACCTTGTTTTTTTTCGCTTTAAGACTCTCCTTAAAGCCTATCATTTTCATTGCCTCATCTTTCCTTTCCATTTTTCTCTATAACGCTGTGAAGGGCTTTGAAGTATTTTATTACCTTAAAGGTAAAGTGATTGTTGCTCTCCTGTGAAGGTTAAAGCAAACCGTGAATGTTTCATTCCTCACTTTCAGAATCATTTTTATTATGGTTTTCTCTTATAAGTTATGTATATGAAGGAATGGAGCTTGTGATGTGTTTCATACCAGTCAGAATTACAATGATCTTTTACCATATACTTTACAAGCACGATAATCAATCCCTTTGAAGCAACTTAAATTCCATAGTTAATACATACCTTTTTTTAAAAAATACCATATGATGGGAAAATATATTCTGAAACAGTTTCAGGGAAATTCTTACTTCCCTGAACATACTGTTTTTGCCAGTTTCAGTTAAAACACTAATGTTTCACTGTTACTATACAAGTTACTCAAAACTACAGAATTCTTAATGTGATATGAAAAAGAGGTATGTTTTTAATGAGTAAAATAATGCAATTTGTTTTTAAATCATTTCATTACACTTCAGAGATTGATGTCACTTTGAAAATATTATCATTTGAGCAGTTGAAAACCAGTTCAAAGGCCATTTTCCACAGCTCTGTTAGACACAAACTTTCTTTTATATATATATATGTATATAAAGCACACACACTTTACACAATTGGGTAACAATTACTGCCAATGATTTTAGTAAGAAGATATCTGGAGCTTTCGGATATTGGTCACTGTCCTCTATTGTTGCCTTACCACCAATGGGTTAAAGTGTAATAGCTAAAATAATAACTAAAATATCATCTGCCCACTAATAATTGAATGGCACTGTTTTCGTGGTGAGTTATACACATTTTATTATATTTTCACAACTACAAGTAACAATAAATGTCTATCTATCTAATAGATTAACAATGTCAAGGATAGTTGGCTCCTAGATCCTGTTAGAGTTGATAGTAAAGCTTAACTACAGATACTGCAACACTACATAAACACTAAATGTACAAGATAAACACCACAGGTAGAATATAAACAGCCCAGATACAACTGAACCGATTTCACTTTGCAGTGGACGTGAATTCACTTGTAAGTGAAGCAGATAGATTCAGAATAACTGGAGCATGACCAAAGTCTAAAAGAAACTCAGGCACCAACAGATTTCTGCATTCGAGTTTCCGCGTTCCAAAAGATTCTTCCACTCTTAAACACACAGTTCTGCTTTGCCTGAGCTCCTGAGAGATGCAGGTGCGTTTGATGTTGTTGCCTTAAAAAAATTCAGGTCTACCTAACCTGTAGATAATTGGTGTTAATTGTTGTAACTCTAACACAAATGGGTAGTAATCGATCATTTTGTTTTGGCAGATCGGCATATTAATCGAAGAAATATTCTGGGAACTTGGATGTCATCATGATCTGTATAAACAGAGCAACACCCCTTTTAAATCGCATATAAGGAACTGGGTTCTGACTGTGCAACAGGCATTACCTACTGTGGAGCTGAGTAAACCTTAACAAGTGTACCGGAGCAAGACAAAGTTGGAAGGTCTTTGAACAAAAAATAAGCTCCCGTTTTCCATCCCACCCTCAATAAACTAAACAATCATTAATCACTGTTCAAAAATGGACAAGAAAGAATTGCCTTTACCTGGATTCTTAAAGAATGATCAACAAATACAACTTCCAGAGGACACAGTGAGTATTTACCAATCATGACAATAAACTCATGCAAATCCCTGCAAGGAGGTGGCGAATTTGACTAGTGTCAATTGCGAATGTTTGTTATAGTCTCCAAACTACCAACCGGTTCCTACCAAATGGAAACAGCACAGTGTTTCTGTAAGGGGGGGGTCGGGGAGACGTTATACGTTTTACTGAGCGTGTGTAATTTCTGATTCAGCTATTTCCTCTCTTTCCCCCAGGCTGCAACCAATGACCATGTGGGTGAAGGTGATGAGAATGTGGAACGAGGGAACTGGTCCTCGAAGGCTGACTACTTGCTCTCGATGATCGGTTACGCTGTGGGTCTGGGCAATGTCTGGAGATTTCCATACCTGGCTTACAGGAACGGAGGAGGTACTGTGATGAAATCCAAAACTACAGCAGAGAGAAAGGCAGATAGAAATTAAAGGGGCCATCCATTGAAATAAAAAAATCAATTCAATAAAGCAGTAAATCCTTTAACACCACATAAATAATTTAGGTTTGAGCCAAGTATAAAGAATACTAATTGAACTGCAACTTTAAACTATACGTTGCCTAGAAGTTCTAGTGAGGGTTCCAGATACAACTTCATTAAGGTGGCACAGTGGTTTGTACTCCAGCCTCACAGCACCAGGGACCCAGGTTCAAATTCCAGCTTGAGTGACTGTGTGGAGTTTGCATGTTCTCCCAGTGCCTGCACGGGTTTGCTGTCATTTCCTCCCACAGTCCAAAGAAGTGCAGGTGAATTGGCCATGCTAAATTACCCTGTAGTGACCAAGGCTAGTTGGGTTAGCCATGGCTAATGCAGAGTTATGCGGATGGGTTGGGGTCCTTGGAGGGTCGGTATGGACTGAGTGGCCTCAATCCATTCTGTAGGGATTCTATGACTCCTGCATGCAAACAATGTGATGTTCAAAGGATATGCTGACATTTCCACTCCTCTGGGATCAGCCTTGAAAGTTGAATTAATGCCTGCCCCTTTGCAATTCAACAGAAGTGATCAATAGAAACAAAACTGCAAAAATATCACAACACCGTTATTCAATACACTGAATCAAAGAGACTGAAAGTATTTTAATTCAGTTAGACATGAATTTTACAAGGTAGGTCTTCTCCTGCTTCACTTCATTGATGTACTGAATTTCAGAGCTGGAATTAAGTGTTAAACATCCTCCCTACATTAACGTATATTGACATCATAAGTTCCTACGGGAATTATCATATGGCCAATTAAATAGGTCAGTCTGAAGACTGGTTGATTATGCTGTGCAGTGTCAGAAAGAGGTCTTTCTGGATAGAGCAATGAATGCATACAAAAACATACAAGCAATTAAATATTTTCAAAAAGAACAATACCTTTGCCCTGTTTTTACACAGGTTTAGAGTACCAATTCTTTATGGTAGAATAATAAACTGATCTTCCCTGAAAGTACTACTTCTGCTGAAGACATCTCCAGTATTTGATATCCTTTAGAAATGAGGGGGAAGCATCAAAATATCAAAATCTGAAGGTTTGCCAGGATGGGGGTGAGACAAAGCATTGGCCTTTCACACAGATAGTTTAATACGTCTGGATGTTGCACACAGAATTTCCTGCATTTTTTTGCTCACGTTCAAAAGAAACATTCATATTTCCATATTACGTGTAACAAGAAGCAGTTACAAAGCAACTTCTCCAATTTCTGAATCAAGCCCCACCCTTTGGAATCGGATGTCTTTAGATATAATTGCTAAAGAATTATTCACAAAACAGGTTGGCTTACCTACATACCTTCAGGTCAGGTTTCCATTTACAAATCATTTCTTGCTTTAGTTTTGCTTGAGATGTGCAAGTATTGGGAATGTTCCTTTAAGTTAGTCTGAAAAATATTCCCATCGCTTCCTTTCCCACACCATACATATACTTCAATTTAACAGAAACTTCCCAGCAATATAAATCATTCCAATTAAAGCCTGACTTCACATTGAAATTATGTAGGAGGAAAAAATGTTTCTGATTCCTGATCACTGGGAGAAAACCGATAGTTGTAGAGGGCAGACTATACTGAAATTTACTTTGCCGCTAAATGTAATAAACATAAAAAGTTCTGGATATAATACAATCTGCTCCCTACATCACAGATCTAGCATGGATATGATTTTAGTACTGAAGCAGGGATGTCATGCTGCAATTGTATAGCAGCTTAGTGAGGCAACAGCTGGAATAGCTTGGCTAGTTTCGGTCTTATCTGAGTAAGGATAATTTGGCAGTGGAAGGAGTACAATGAGGGTTTAGCTGACTGATTCCTGTGATGGCAGGATAATCAGTTCAGATTATTTTCCTAAGAGTTTAGAAGAATGAGGGTGGGGAATCTTGTAGAACCCCATAAAATTCTAACAGGACTAGATAAGGTAAATGCGGGAAGGATGTTCCTAATGACTGGGGCGTCCAGAACTAGGGGTCGCTGTCTGTGTAGCCTATGTAAGCCTTTCGGACTGAAATGAAGCGAAATCTCTTCACTCAGAGAGAGAGTTGCGCCAATGGAATTCTCTGCCACAGAATGTGGTTGAGGCCGAAACATTGAATATTTTCAAGAAGGAGTTAGATATAGTCTGAGGGTTAAAGGGATCAAAGGATACGGGGAGAAAGTGGAAACAGGGTACTGTGTTGGATGATCAATCATGGTCATTATTAAGGGCAGACCAGGCTCAAGGGGCCGAATGTCCTACTCCTCATCTTATTTTCTAAGTTTCTAATTTAACGCCCAAAGTTCATGTGGTACTTCTACATTAAAGTTTTAGAGGCACAATACAATTTGATTTCATAAGTGATTTAATGACCTGCTTCACTGCCTCACTTGGAAAGAAGATGAAAGTTGATTTGCTGCAGCCTCAGCTGCACATTCTAACTGAAGTTCATTTGATAATAATGGAGGTCACAATAAGGTATGTACATCTTGAAAAGTCAGTTATAAATTCAGGGAAGTTAATGCCTGTAGTTTTTCAGTCTTTCAGTTATAAAAAAAAACTTAATTTATTGAAGTTTTTTTTTGTTTCCCACATTGTTAGGTTTTCATTCACTGTGCATACTCATATTATCTGGAGGTTTGAACTTGTTTTACCTGAAGTAGAGGTGAACTCTGATGTTGTAATAATCTCTTTAATGAAAGTAGTTGCTTTTATTCATTCATGGGATGTGCGCGTTGTTAGCTGGGCCCAGCATTTATTGCCATCCCTATTTGCCCATGAGAAGGTGGTGGTGAGTTGCCTTCTTGAACTATTGCGGTTTATGTGCTGTAGGTTGACCCACACTTGCTAGGGAGCAAGTTCCATGATTTTGACCCAGTGACACTGATATAACTGCAGACTCCTCATTTCTTAGTGAAAAATTAAGGCAAGAGTTGTTGTATTTCAGCTCCCATAATCGATTTCCTGTAAATCTCTTGACTGTGAAAACAAGCATTTACAGGTGCAATTTGTGACTCTTTAAGTGCAAGGTACTGGGCTGTTGGGAATAATGCAACAGGATGAGAATCTGAATGTTAATTTCTGGTATGTTGTTTTGCATTCAAATACTGAGTACCTTCTGTAATTACTGTGTTCTCTCAATAACTTTAATGAGCTTCTGTGCCAAAATGGTGTGCTTGGTCATTTAATGTTCAGTCTCAAACTACGTGAATTATCCCCGTAACATTTTCCAATATTTCTATCTTTTTCAGGTGCATTTCTCATTCCCTACATAGTCATGCTGACACTTGCTGGGATCCCCTTGTTTTTCTTGGAATGTTCCTTTGGGCAGTTCGCCAGTCTCGGACCTGTTGCAGTTTGGAAAGCCGTGCCCATATTACAAGGTGAATAAAAACCAAAAGAACTGTGGATGCTGCAAATCAGGAACAAAAACAGAAGTTGCTGAAAAAGCTCAGCAGGTCTGGTAGCATCTGTGAAGAGAAATCAGAGTTAACGTTTCGGGTCCAGCAACGCTTCCTCAAAAGTGATCCCATCGTCACAGATGCTTCCAGACCTGCTGAGCTTTTCCAGCCACTTCTGTTTTTATTACAAGGTGAATGTTTATTTAGCAACTGAAGCTTAAATAATGCCATTTATTTCACAGTAATATGTTGGCTACACTTTCTTCATCAAATGAGAAATTAAGCTAGCCTTTACTGAATTACTGTTGAAAATCTGATCTCCTGTACACTTTTAACAAATCAGACACAGACAATGATGTAACATGCACAGCAAGTAAAACATTTGCTTTCCTTTTTTTCGATGTGGCCAGGTATGAGACCCCATACATGGAAAATTCTCTGTCTTTCACCTCGGCTGCAATTTCACACTCATCCGGAGTGTGAATTGACAGTAGTCGAGGTGAGTGCACAGCATGGTCCACTTGTTTCAATTACTGGCTACTTACGGGTCTCCCCCCACTGTTGTTGAGACTTTTCTTTTCCTGAAAGCCAACAGGGGAAGGCTAGTGCCAAGCGTCCAGGTTACCAGGTAGCATGCTGACCAGGTTAGTGGGGGTGGGGGTCCCTCTCATTGGGTACCCTCTACCCATCACAAGCCAATCCCCCAAAAAATTCCTTGACATTACCTTTCGCCTGTGATCCTGGCTGCAGGACCAATGTGAGTAGGGCCCACAGGCTGGGCCTGTTCTGGATGAGACACCAGACCTATCTGTAAAACCAGCCCTTCTGGCTCCCCCTCTTCAGGGAGCTGCCTACAATCCCAGCACTGGCTATCAATCCTGAGAGCTAACTTAGCAGACAATTTGTGAACTGACAGCCGTGAAGTGGCTAGGGGGCTGAGCCACGACTTGTAGGAAACTTCATCCCACACTCCTGCAGACAATGCCACTGGCCCTGCATAATCCCCAGCTTCTAGCTAATGACTTGGCTATAACTCCAAACTCCAGGACACTCAGCAATTAACTCAGAGTAGCATCATTTCGCTTATTTAAACCTTGAGGTTACCGAGGGGAATTTGAAGATCAATATTATCCGTAAAATGTGGAGAAGAGAAACCAGTCCAGGTGCAGTGCTGTGAGAGTGTGAATGGGGATTTCAAGCAAAGTTGGACCTTCAGCTCAGCAGCGTTGCTAGGCTTCCAACTCCACCTGGGTCCTTAGACTGAGGAGGGAAAAAAGAACAGCCACGCACCTTCTGCTTAAAGTGATCCCTGCTATAGGAAAGATGTTGTAAAACTTGAAAGGGTTCAGAAAAGCTTTTAGAAGAATGTTGCCAGGATTGGAGGTTCTGAGTCATAAGGAGAGGCTGAATAGTCTGGGGCTTGTTTTTTTTCCCTGGGGCGTCAGTGGCTGCGAGGTGACTTTAAGGAGGTTTATAAACTCATGAATGGGGTGAATAGCCAAGGTCTTTTTCCCAGATTGGAGGTGTCCAAAATTGGAGGACATAGGTTGAAGGTGAGAGGGGAAATACTTAAAAGGGATCTGATGGGCAACTTTTTCACAGAGGAAGTGGTGGAGGCTGGTACAATTACAACATTTAAAAGGCATCTGGATGGGTATATGAACAGGAAGGGTTTAGAGGGATATGGGCCAAATGCTAGAAAATGGGACGAGATCAGATTGGGATGTCTGGTCAGCATAGATGAGTTGGGCCAGAGGGGCTGTTTCTGTGCTGTATAACTTTCTGTTTCTATAAGTGCAAGTGTGGTTTCTACAAATTAGGTGAGGACAGTTTAGAGCACTGCTGGAGTATCCTTTTTGACTAATAGTTACTAGTGCTCACTGTTTAGGTTTTCAGTTGAAGAATTTCTATCCTGAAGCAGTATTAGGATTGTGATGAAGTTTCTTGGTCATTCCTAACCTCTGAGGCATAGAACCCCATGTGATTTACTGAATCAAATGCTTTGATCACATCAAAGAAGTCGATAAGGAGTTTCTGATGTTGTTCTCCTGAAAATCTAATCCGTGTCTCGGACTGGAATTCCTCAACCATAAGAAGGAGGCAATTCAGGAGAATGAGAGTCAGGATTTTCCCTGCCTCAGACAAGAGGAAAATACCTCAAAATAAACCACAACGTGATTTATTTCCCTACTGGAAGAAAGTTATACTTGCAATATTCCTGAACTCCGGGTGGAGGTGGGGGAGAGAAAATCCTGAAAACCTCTTCTTCTTCCCGAATCCATGGATGAGTGCATGGAAGTTTGAGGTCTGCAAAACCCCAGAAGCTTTGAGGACCTTTCACTTTCCAAGTATTATGTCAGAAACAGGGCAGCTAATTTGCAGACAGCAATCGCTCATAATAGCGATACAATAACTGCATAAGCTTTTACTGATGTTGACTGGGGGATAATTAATTGATAATTGCCAGGACTTCAGGGAGAACTCCACTGTCTTCAAAATGGTGCCATGGGATTTTTTGTTACACTACGTGAGAGCAGATGGAAGTGCAGTTTAAATCCTCATCCAAAAGGCAGCGGCTGTAATATTGCAGCATTCCCTCAGTCCTGCACTGCACTGTCAACTTATATATGTGTACACAAGGGAGCCCACAACCTGTTGATCTAGGTGTGGCCTGCAAACTGAGCCAGTGACAAAAATATAAGCATTTGCATACAGCTGCTTTACAATCAAGTACAACTGTGAGATCTTTGCAGTGAAACATCTAAAAACCAAAAACAGCGCAAGTTCTGTACATCATCCAATCCTTCCCACCAAATCACAATCACTGTATAAACCATCCAACTTTCTACTCTACCAATGATACTCTGTCTTCGAACTCTGTCAGTGTCCTGTTAGTCTTCCTCATTCTCAATTTGTCAGTCTTTTTATCCTCATCCAGTTCTACAGAATATGTGCACACACACAGTATAAGAACCTGTCATGCTTAATATATTGGTTTGTTACTCAGTTTGTTTGACAGCTGAATAAGTGAAAAAAAAATTGACATTAATAGTTTCTAATTAAAATTGTTTTCTCTGTTCATTTAAAGGTGTGGGAATCACCATGGTCCTTGTATCAACATTTGTGACAATTTACTACAACTGTATCATCGGCTACAGTCTGTACTACCTGTTTGCTTCCTTCCAATCAACCCTGCCGTGGGCAGACTGCTTCAGTTGGTGGGGAGCAGATGAAACATGCAGCAGGACTCCTAAAGGTACAGTGCTCACTTCTATTGGGAAAAGTGTCGACACCAACTGTTCATTTTAAATTCTGTACAGGTTGTCAACGTGTGGCAGAATAGCCGTTAATATTGTTAAAGAACCAAGAATTTACCTAAGTGATTCATCCTTGTACCCGACATGAAATTACTCACTCCCCGCTACAATTCCGACCCACTCACTATCCACCAGAACAGTTTGATAAATAACACAAGGACCACTTACCACAGTCCAAAAGCTACTGCAGTGAACTTACAACTTTTTGCTGGTCTATTTCAATAACATCATGTTGTAGTCATATAGCATCTTCACTCTAATAAAATGCCCTGACTCACATATATTTAATGGAATTAGGTTCCCTGTTGAATACTATGCGTCCTTTCCTCTTCAAGTTTACCACAAAGTAGGCTGGAGCCAGTAGTGCAGAGCACTAGCTATGCCATAGGTCCATATTAATGAAAATTCCAAGCCATTATGTCTACTGGATCCTTGTTTAGCATCTTGAAATAAATCAGTGTCTACCGCTGCAATTCCTTCCAGTTTACAAATTCTATGCTGACTCTCTTCATTCCTCCAGCTCTGGTCTTTTGAGTTCCCTTTGCACCACTATGACTGATAGAAACTTACTCAGCTTTCGCAATCGTACACATCTGGTCATGATTAAAATGACCCCTTAGAGGTGGATTCATTGCAACTGAACATTGTTAATTTTATTTTACAAATAGGCTGGTGAGACCAGTCTTCTCCAATGAAAGTATGTTCTTTAATTTGTTTGTGGCCTACATAGTAAACAATTTGTAAGCTCCAGATCTGGCTGTGGGACTCTTCCTTCGAGTGTTTTCTGCAGGAAAGGAAGAATCTCTCTGCCCACAAATCAGGATTTGCAGACCCCTGTTAGGGTACACTATGCTATTTTTTGAAGGAGGATTTGTTTATTCATTCATGGCATGAAGGCATCACTGGCTATGCTGTATTTATTGCCTATCCCTAGTTGCCGTGGAGACACTTAAGAGTCAACCATATTGCTGTGGGTCTGGAGCCTCATGCAGGTCAGACTGAATAAGGATGGCAGTTTGCTTCCCTAAAGGATATTAGTGAGCCAGAGGGGTTTTTCCAACAATTGACAATGGATTCATGGTCATCATTAGACTCTTAATTCCATATTTTCCTTTATTGAATTTAAGTTACACCATCTGCCATGGAGGGATTTGAAACCAGTCCCTGGCACGTTTTCTGCGTCTCTGGATTAACAGCCCAGCAATAATACCATTGGGGCATCGCCTTAGTCAAGTTTATATATACATTATTGCTCTCTTTGTGACACAAAATGGGAGCATTGATATGGTCATAAAGCAGGAGAAATAAGGACCTACATTTCGTTGTATATTGCAATCCTCAAGATTTGGTCTCTACAAGGACTGTGCAATGTCACCCCTAACCATACTGTCATGGAAGAAAACATCTGCAACAAATAGTTGTTTGAGAACAAGATGAAGTAGATTTTTCCCTTTTCTTCTTAGCCTTAGCTCATGTTACCAATCCAGGCTGGTAAATCTGTTAGGACTTGGCCAGCTCTGTCACCATTCTATAGCAGTGCTATCCAGCCACTCTTGGTGATGGAAAATTGGAGTCCTCCACCTAGAATATATTCTTTGTCCACTGCCACTGCCACTGCCACTGCTTCCTCCAAGTATGATTCACCATAGAAGTGTAGTCTTTCATCAGTCATGAAGAGGGGATGGAATCTAGCTGTGCACAAGTTGGCTGTTGTAATTCCTACATTTCAAAAGCAAATACACTTCAAAAGTACTTATTTTACTGTAGAGCTGTTTGGAATTTCAGATATTGTAATTTCCTTAATGAAGATATATGTCTTTCAGTCTTTCAAATTCCATATTTTCCAGATCCACTCTGCAATCTCACACTAGATAATGGATATTTTGAAATCGTTAATACAACATGGCTGCAGACAAACAACGAAACTTGTCCAAATGGATCAGCAATTTCTGTTACTCACCAGGGTCCTAGTGAGCAATACTGGGAGTAAGTACATTGCTGCAGAGAACTGCACCTATAAACTGCACAGCTGGGCCAGTAACCCGTCTTGGGACATTTGGTTGATGAAAACCTTGTGTAATGAATGAGTAGAAATGCAGTTGCCATTGACAATTCAGTAGTTCAGGGCATGAACAAGTATTTCTGTAACTGATTTCCAAATGGCATATTGCGTCCAAAGAGCCAGGTGAAAGAATATCACTGAGTTGGTGCAGGATATTCTGCGCGTAAAACAGAAACAGCCAGAAGTCAACAACCATATTGGAACCAAGGACATGTGTGGTTCTTCCAGCAAAGTCTCAGGATGTGTGCTCGATGGACTAGTCATCAGCTAGGTTGGTGGTAGTTTTCCCTCAGTTAGTCACTAAGTGCCATTCAAAGAGGAAAGCCCCCAAATCTCCGCTCTGATTTACCTGTAGTGTGCGCTATGTGGTGACAGGCCGTCTGCAGCACCATCAGCCCTAGCAACAGCGGGACAAGGCTGTTAGCTGTTATTAATTGTCCCCTTAAGAGTCTTTATTGGTAGCATGATGGTGCTTTAAGGCAAAGGTTGACCCCTTTCTAAGAACTAAAACCAGAACACCTAAAGAGGAGCACTTCACCCTATAATGTGTAAAAGGAGTGTGCAAAGTGGTGTAACCTGCCTTTCAGCAACTTCTAGTGGTTCAATAAAATAAATCCCTGGCAATCACTTTAAAATCAACGAGTAACAATTTATTTATCTAACTCTATTAGTGAACAAATTAACTAAACTGAACCAAATAAATCCCTTCTAACTACTAACTATTCCTCAATAAAGCAGGATTCTAATGGTATGCTGTTCCAATAAATACAAGTCCCACTTATATATAAAAAGTTAAGTCTCTTGAAATTACAGCCAGGTTACATGTCTTCTGGAATGTTCTGTGCCTTCTCCATTGTATCTTCTGTCAGGAATGCCTTCTCCATTAATTCTTCTGTCAAGAATATTAACTAGTTGTGCTGTTGGTACCATTTTTATTTAGATGGTGCTTTCTCTAAGACATAGAGGAGGCTGTGAGAGCCAGCGATTCTCTCTTGACAGCTGAAGGCTGTTAGCTCTGGCAGATGGCAGCTAGCTCTGGGGCTTTGTCCAGCTGCAGCCTTCTTTTTATACCCTTGATGATATATCAGTATTTCCTACAATAGGATTGGTCCAATGTTGTCAAAACCATCAGACTTAAATTTAGCTGGTTCAAATTGATCGGCTAAACTTAAAAGCCTGTTGTCTTGGCAGAAACTGCTGCTTGGCCTGCTAACTGTACGGTCTTGCCTTAAACTCAACTCACAAGATGTTACAATTCAGGTGCTCTCTGTGTACATGCAAACTTTCAAGCTGCTGCTCACAGACATCCATTTTAAATCTCTAAGCACAGAAAAAAAACACATCATCTTTTAAAGGGACCACACAATCCTTTCCCCCCGAGCATTTTACAAACACCAAATCCTAACTTCCTCCCTCCCAGTCCACGAGCACTCTGCCAACTTTTCAATAATGGGAAGCCTTCTTGCCACACACTTAGTCAGAATGGAGGCAGGTCGGCAACTGAATGCGCACTTCCTAACTTCCCTCCCAGTTAAATGCCCATTCCTCCACCTCCAAACATACCACAGGAGAGAGTGGGTAATTCTGCCCAGTAACACTGTTCCTGTCTCCACAATGGTATCTAACATGCTGAGTATTTCCAGCAACTTTTGTTCTTATTTTGTATTTCCAGTATTTTGGTTTCATTGCCCTAAACTCAACTCACAAGTTTTTAATTTCTTTATGCTCCTTTTCTTTGATGCAAACAGAAAATTAAGAGCAGGTAGCATAAATACAATGGAAAAAAATATCAAATTTAATTTCAATCCCTTGCTAATTCACTTCTAAACACAGTATTAATTCTCTTTACATTTCAAATCAAGTGTTATGGGTAGTGCGGTGGCTCAGTAGTCAGCACTGCTGCCTCACAGAGCCAGGGACCTGGGTTTGATTCCAGCCTCACTGTCTGTGTGGAGTTTGCACATTCTCCCTGTGTCTGTGTGGGTTTCCTCCCACAGTCCAAAGATGTGCAGGTTAGGTAAATTGGGCAGGCTAAGTTGCTCACAGTGTCCAGGGATGTGCAGGCTAGGTGGGTTAGCCATGGGAAATGCAGGGTTACGGGGACAGAGTAGGGGAGTGGGATGCCCTTTGGAGAGTTGGTGTGGATTTGATGGGCCTAACGGCCTGCTTCTATGCTGTAGGACTTCTATCATGAAGTGCTATTGTCTAAAAAATCAACTGCAATAAACAATGCCTGACAAGATGTTCTTTTTTCATTTTATTTAGTAGTGTGGCTTTGCGTCGTAGCAGCTCAATAGATGAGACTGGGCCAGTAGTCTGGTATTTAGCCCTCTGTCTGCTGCTAGCCTGGATTATAGTTGGGATAGCACTATCTAAAGGAATCAAATCTTCAGGAAAGGTAAAATGACCAGTTATGAATAGAATTAAAGTTAGTGACAAAGTAAACATTTCTGCAATGGATAAATAAATTTGCACAATGGACGAGGTTTATTTACAATGCTAACAGTCGATGACTCTGCAGAGTGTGTGAGATCTGCACTTCATGTGCACTTTAGGCCTGATAAGGATGTGGGGGATATTCTCATGTGTAACATGATTCTCTGCAATAATATATGATAACAGCTTGGCAAGGGAAATCAGCATCTTAGTTAATCACTAAATTAACAGATGGACAAATGAAATGGAGAGTGAATCAAAAGATACTATAGAGAGGGAGTGAAAGATTGCAGTAAGGGAAGGGGAAAGAAAAGAAAGGTAAGAGAAAACTTGGCAACTTAAAACTACTAAAACCCAACTTCACACCTGAAAGGAATGAGGCTGCACGGTGTAGATTATTCAATTTCAAAGTCAGAAGTCACATGACACCAGGTTATAGTCTAACAGGTTTATTTGAAATCACAAGCTTTCGGAGCGCTGTTCCTTCATCAGGTGAACTTCACCTGTTAAAGGAGCAGTGCTCTGAAAGCCTGTAATTTCAAATAAACCTGTTGGACTATAACCTGGTGTCATGTGCCTTCTGACTTTGTCCGACCATTGCACCCCCCACCCCACCCCACCCCCCCCCTTCCCCCACTCCGTCCAACACCGGCATCTTCACATCATGTTCAATTTCAAGATCAGATCATGATTGACATTAGATTAACAAAGTGTTGCTTTGATAAAAAGGTATTTACAGTTTGTTTCATTGACTACATTTCTGTCATGCCTCAAATGTGTAAATAATGTGTAAATCCACTTAGGTCTTAGAACCAACAGGAGGCTAAGGCCGTTTGTGTAAAACCAACTGCAGAATACGACAGCAAGTTGATCAAGCTGGAGAGATTTCTAACTCACAGCTCATTATCCCAGAACTTGCTGGTTGATTTGCATATAAATAATAGCATGTTATGAGTATATAATTGTTGCAGCATGATCCAGCCAATATCATGCTTCTTAAACTCTGTTAAAAGTACCTTCACAGTAGCCATTACTCCTCCAATTAACTACTGGTTCATTCACTGCTTTATTAGTATGTCATTAAGTTGGATGCACTTGATATCCCATCAGTAGAACAGGAAATTCTAACAACAACTTACTCTCTATGATCAGGTCGTTTATTTCACAGCAACATTCCCTTATCTGGTTCTCATCATACTTCTAGTCCGAGGTGCTACTCTGAAAGGAGCCTATAAAGGAATTGAATACTACATTGGAGCGCAGTCAAACATCTCTAAACTGAGAGATGCTGAGGTAAATACACCAGGATAAACCATAGTACTTCAATTACATTTTTCAGTCAACCTATTGCACTTCTTAAATTTCCTGGTTTGTGACATGTTTGAGGTAAAGGTTGAGCTGCTCTTGGACTCTGGGGAAAGTTGATTTCAGTCAATGTATTTCAGTTGGTGTAGAATGAGAAAGTATTTGCAAGTGAAAGCTAGGAATAAAAGTTGATGGTTTATTGCATGCTATCTAAGATCTAGCAGTCTGCAGGTTGGATGGGATAACAGTAGCAGAAGGGGTTCAGATTAAATGAATCAATGATTGGATGGAATGGCATATCAGAATTGGAATGGCCAGGGCGGATTACAATTACAATGGCTGCCATTTCTCTTAAACTTGTAAACAATTTGCTAATAAAATCAAGTAAATATCTCAATATGTTATCAATCCAGTTGGGAGGTCACCAAGTAACAGTTAAGACAATGTGACATGTTATTAACTGACATTGAGATTTGATTGTTAGTTTTAACGCAATTCTCATGGAGAATTGGTGAATCTTTCATCTGTGCTGCTTTCAACAATGGTGATAGGCGGTTAAATTAAGCTGAAGCTCAAGCTAACTTAAGTACAGTTCCGAAGAAGGGTCACAGCACCCAAAAGGTTAATTCTGATTTCTCTCCACAGGTGCTGCCAGATCTGCTGAGTTTTCCCAGTAATTTCTGCTTTTGTAGTTAAATTAAGCAGTAAGTTTCTTGTAAACGGAGCTGTGCAAAGTCTTTGACCTTGTTTAGGGAATTGTAAAAAGAGAATGAGTGAATGAATGTCCTATTATTTAAGAAAGGCTGTATTGACTGGAGGGATTTTCATTCAGTCAGCTCACCATTGAGCTCTGATACTAATTCCCACAGCATTACTCACAGTTAATACAGTGTTATCTGTTACAGAAAGTCATGTAAGAAGTTCCCACAGCTGATTAATTCTGCTTTCTATTTTCCAGGTCTGGAAAGATGCCGCCACACAGATTTTCTATTCACTGTCAGTTGCTTGGGGAGGTTTAACAGCTCTGTCATCCTACAACAAATTTCACAACAACTGTTATACAGATGCCATCATTGTCTGTGTTATTAATTGTGCTACGAGTGTGTTTGCTGGCTTCGCCATCTTCTCCATCCTTGGACACATGGCTCATATACAAAACAAGCTTGTCTCAGAGGTTGCCCAGTCAGGTACCTGCAGATTCACCTTATCATCTTCTGTTGAAAACAGGGTTAGATAAAATTGTTCCATGGTCTCAGCTATTCCACAGTGTTGGCTCAATCTGCCTCCTAATGTTTTGAATTGGAAATAGTTAAGATGAATGTGCTATAGTTTAAACAAGCAACAGCGACACTAACTGTTAAGTTGCTTGTAACAAGAATAATAAGAACTCGCAAGAATATGGCTTAAACCATCTTGAACAATATTATCATGACTTAAATTGGAAGAGTGTACTGACAATCATGCTTCATATTTCACACTCCATCACAAATGTGTAATCACCCAGTTAAATTGCCAAAGAGATCCATTTGCCAGATGAACCTCTATACATGGTTTTGTTGCTGACGGAAAAATGGTTTTATTTGTCAGAAACAAACTTAAACTTTAACAGTTGGCAAAATAAGATTACTAATTTACTACTATGTGGCTTAAGTTATATCCATTTGAAATTCAAATACACACATGTTCATTCACAAATTGGACAAACCAAAAAAAATGTTTCATCTGACATAAATACTATAGGTGGAAAAATATAGATGGGCAGTATGAATTCTGCTGGTCAAAACCACAAAATTAGAAAGTTCATTCCTCAGTGATTTTGATTTTAACACTGATGACACAATGTTGCCTGCAGAATGATGGTTGCTCTATAATTCAATAGCTGATTGGGTGGACCTAGGTCTTATCTTGTACTGGAATTCTTTCTTCAGAGTCTCAGAAGTCTGAATTCTTCAGAGTCAGGTTTTTGTCTTTCCCCTTAGAGATAGATGTGGCAGAAAATGTTTCTTGTTTACAGACCTCTAATCAACAACAAACTATAGCTTGACAATCTAAAAGCTGTTCTCAGGCAGTGTCTCCTTAGCTCCAAGACTTTTGGCGTCACTCTGTCTCAAAGTACCACCTCACTGCTGTGAAAACTAACACAGAATGTACAGCTAATGTGTACATCACACAATCCCAATTGATCTCCAAGTTACAGGAACAATATAATACTGCTGTACTTTTAGCTACATAGCAATGTCCAACTTCCATTTTCCAGTTTAATGTTAAATGCCATTACAATATCAGATCCTCTTTGCAGTTGGGGAAGATTAATGGGCGAGGTGACATTCTTGCTTCTCATAACTAGTACAATACTAATGGGATTAATGTCTCCTCTGTCTGCTGAGTATGAAGAGTTCCTACATTTTTTTCACAGGATGTAGGCATCGCTGGCTACGCCAGTATTTGTTCCTCATCCCTGATTGCCCTGGAAAAGGTGCTAGTATCTTCTTGAACCTCAGCAGTCCTGGGTTTTTGGTTCATCTACAGTGCTGTTAAGAAGGGAATTCCATGAGAAGAGTTTGGGCAGTCTCCAAGCAAGGAACTAATGGTGGGCAAGGAACTAATTGGTGGGCAAGGAACTAATGCACAAACTAGCATTTACTTGGAAATATCGCTCAGGTAAACTCCAAGATAGCTGCTATGAGCAATGAGAAAAGGTTATACTCTCACAAGAATTGGTGGAGTAGGGTAAAGGGATCTATACTCTGCAGACAATTGTGATGTTAAAAAAAGACTTATGTACACAATACCTCAGGAAGTCCAACTGGAAAGGAACATCCTTTATTACTGAACAGCAAAATAGAGCCACTATAGTACATAGGCTAGTCCCAGTCTAGGCCAGACCAATCTGTGGACCTGCTTTTTATTTTTTTTTAATTTAACCTATTTTTCTAATTAACCTGTTCAAATATGTTATTATATACCTCTGGAGCAGGTGGGACTTGAATCCAAGCCTCCTGGTCCAGGGATATAGACACTACCACTATAAAGGGTTCAGGCGATGAGTTCTCACCCTTGCCTGAGAACTCATACTTAACAAGCTCCACAGGGAGATTAATTAGTGATATGCCATGGGCTTTGTAAGAAGTTATCACAAGGTATCAAATGAAAACTGCTCCACGATGCATTTCTGCCATGACTGGTCCTGATATAGTAAATACAAAATCTCAGACCATAAGACAAATACTGAACAAACTTATATTATTTGGCAATGTGGATTCTAAACTAATTAATAGGTCTTAAATAAATGATGCTAATATACAGTATATTTATCTTATGCACCATTAATTACATAATTTCTCTTTTGATTCACTGTCTAGGCTTTGGTTTGGCCTTCATTGCTTACCCAGAGGCCCTCGCACAGTTGCCAGTGGCACCTTTATGGTCTATTTTATTTTTCTTTATGCTGGTCACTCTGGGACTGGACAGTCAGTTTGCAAGTATAGGTAAGAATAACATTACTTCAAAATATTTCCTTCTGTAACTTTCCTTTACATATCATTGACTTATGTACCCTGGGGTGCTGAATCTTTGTGGAGCTACATTGCTTCGAGCTGTTTATTACTAAAATGAATGACCTTCCACTTGTCTAATTTGGAATCCATTTGCCATATCCTAATGATATGTTTCCACCCATTTCTGTTAAAATATCACCTATCTTTGTGTCATTGGCTAATTTGTATATATGGCTTTCCATGCCAACGCCAATGTTATCTATAGATATGGTGGACAGTTACTACCTCATTACGAATTCAATTAGACACCAAAGATCACATCCCTTCATTTAGAGAATTGACCCATAATACCTACTCTCTCCTTCCTGCCACTCATCTAACTTCCTTAGTAAGGTCAATGATTTGCCTCAAATTCAATGAGTTTCAACTGTAGGTAAACGTCTTTTATAAGGAACTTAATCAAATGCTGAGCAGAAGTCCATATAAATAACAACATCTATTGACATTTTCTTATCCACAACTTTTATTATCCTTTCAAAAAAGTCAATCAAATTCACCAAGCAAAATTGACACTTTACAAAATCCATGCTGATTTTGTTTTTCTGATTGACTGCTTTCTGATTGCTTTTTGTCACTTATATTAATGATTTGGATGTGAATTTCTCTATAACTTGATAGTTATGTCCTTGTGTGATCTCGCGCTACAGGAAATCACCATAGAAAATCACGTTTTAGAGAAATCGCTACAGAAAATTGCTATACCTGTACAGCAGAAAGTTTGTGTTATCCAAACAGTGTCCACTATTCATCAATCACGTTACAGCCAATACACATTAACGAAACATGCGTTATGGCAGAAATACCTGTAGGAGGTATGGTTAGTAGGTTTGCAGGTGACACCAGAATTAAAGGTGTTTCAGAGATAGTAGTAACTGCAGATGCTGGAGAATCTGAGGTAACAAGGTGTTCAGAGAAGGGTCTAGGCCCGAAAAATCAGCTTTCCTGCTCCTCTGATGCTGCTTGGCCTGCTGTGTTCATCCAGCTCTACACCTTGTTATCTCAGAATTAAAGGTGTAGTGGACAGCCAAGAAGGTTGTCTCAGTGTACAACGGGACCTTGATCAGATGGGCCAGTGGGCCGATGTGTTGAGGAGTGGCAGATGAAGCTTAAGTTAGATAAATGTGACGTCCTGCATTTCGGTAAGACAAACCAGGACAGGACTTATACACTTAATTGTAAGGTCCTGGGGAATGTTGCCAAACAAAGAGACCTTGAAGTGCAGGTTCATAATTCATGAAAGTGGAATCGCAGGTAGACAAGATAGTGAAGAAGGTGTTTGGTATGCTTGCCTTTACTGGTCAGTGCATTGAGAATAGGAGTTGGGAGGTCACGTTGTGGCTGTGTAGGACATTGGTGAGGCCACTTTTGGATTACAATGTTCAATTCTGGTTTCCCTGCAATAGGAAGGATGTTGTGAAACTTAAAGGGTTCAGATAAGATTTACAAGGATGTTGCCAGAGTTGGTGGATTTGAGTTATGGGGACAGGCTGAATAGGCTGGGGCTATTTTCCCTGGAGCATCGGAGGCTGAGGGGTGACACAATAGAAGTTTATAAAATCAGGAGGAGCATGGATGGCGTGAACAGCCAAGGTCTTTTCTCAGGGTAGGGGAGTCCAAATCTACAGGTATAAGGTGAGAAGGGAAAGATTTAAAACGGACCTAAGGGGCAACTTTTTCACACAGAGGGTGGTTCATGTATGGAATGAGCTGCCAGACGAAGTGGTGGAGGCTGGTACAATTACAACATTTGAAAGGCATCTGGAATTGGAATAGGAAGGGTTAAGAAGGATATGGGCCAAATGCTGGTAAATGGGTCTAGATAAACTTAGGATGTCTTGTCGGCACAGACGAGCTGGACCGAAGGGTCTGTTTCCATGCTGTACATCTGTATGACTCTATGAATGAAATATTCAACCTGTTCTGTCATCCTATACTTAATGAAAGTAATTTCCCAACGCAGACATTAGGCTATAACTCCCTGGCTTCCCTCACTTACCTCTCTTTATTACTTGAGAGATACATATAAATTTCTAATCAAAAGGTGCTGTTACTGAAATGAGGGGACTTTGAAAATTATGGTTAGGGTATCTACAACATTGTCACTCACTGTGCTTCCTTTTGAAGCCTTAGGACAGCAATCACCTGAGTGCTGAAGAAATGTTAGACTTCAGCACTGTCATTTTCTTCATTATTGGTATTTTGTTTACCTTAATTTTAAAGATCTTCTAAAATTGATTCAGTGCGCGTTTCCTGGGAACATTTGAAATTCTATTGTCTTCATCTATTGCAAATACTGATGCAAAGTGATAGTTGAACACGTCTGTCATGTTCTTATTTTCATTTGCTTTATCCCTGTTATCTGCCTCAAGAGATCCACATTTCTCCTAACAACATGCAATTCCTACATAAACTCATTGGAGAAAACTTGTGACGATTTTGGTATCCCATCAAAACGTTTGTCAAAGACTGTTTTTTGCAGCTTTTCCTGTCTGTTTTGAGCACTAATTGCCCTATGTATGTTTCCCATTCTCTGGGATTGGTGTTATTTTAGATTTTTTTCTATACCCTTTTAGTTTTATGTGCCCCCTTACCTTTTTCATAATCGCTGTCTGTTATTTTTAGGAAGCAATACACTTGACCTTTAAATGAACAAATTGTTTGTTTCTCACTTTAAAGATTTGTTTAAATCTAGGATCATTGAAGCAGTTTTACATTTATCCCTTTTAAACAAAACACTGGGCTCAATCATGTTACGATCACTGTCAAAATAAAGCCATTAAACTGTTAACTAATTCTGGCTCATTAATCAATTCTGACGAATTAATCTAATATGACCCTTATTGGTTTTGGACACATTAAGCTGAATTATGAAGGCTATGCTGCAGTGCCCTGCACTAAAGACATTCATAAAATTTTGGTTTTTTCACCACTATGGCACAGCAGTACAAACCATTCAGGGACAAAAACAAAGTTGCTAGAAAAGCTCAGCAGGTCTAGCAACATCTGTGAAGGAGAAAACAATTAACGTTTCGGGTCCAGTGACCCTTTCTCAGTTCTGAGGAAAAGCTTTGTTTTTGTTCCTAATTTATAGCATCCGCAGTTCTTTCAGTTTCCACTCAGGGAGCTCGCTGTAAGTGGTCTCAGAGTGATAAAGTTATCAACTCGTTCAAAGGATGGATTAAATGATTCCTGTATTCCTGGGCTAAAGACAACTTAAGTACAAGCAAGCCTTTTGGCGATATATAATCTTGTAAAGGCCTGACCCAGACCCTTGAATGCTTCAGAAAGTGGGCTTTTAGTCAGAAGACAACATCTTCACCAACGTTTCTGCTATAGCTTTGGACTGTGTAAATAACTAATCATTGATTACATTTAATATTTTGTTTCATCAGAAACAATTATAACAACATTACTGGACCAGTTCCCTACCTTTCTACGAACAAAACGCGCTTTTGTGACATCCGGTGTTTGCTTGCTATTTTTTTTCTTGGGCCTCGTATGTGTAACACAGGTATGTTGTCTTTTAATAGCGTGCATTGTGCCTATGTTGTGCTGCTGACTACAATTGAAATCTGCATCTCACAGGATTCAGTGATCAGGAAAGATCTTCTATGTTGGTCCTGCCTTTTCTTTCCAGTCATTTAAAATTGTGAAGTAATGGTGTGCGTCTGACTGACCCTTCCCCCATCTGCTTAGCGTTGTTACAGAGCCTGGTTAAAATGCTGAAAGTCACCTTCATTGCTGCTGTATACCAGCCTTACACTGAGTTCATTTTAGATCCACAGGATGTCTTTGGATAAGTATTCTTTCTGTTGAGATTTGTCCACCTTAGTAAATTTCTGTCTTAAATTTTGTTTACTGCCTTTGAAACACACCATGTTGCTAAGTGGGAGATTAAAACTGAAAATGCAAATTGAAGCACATATTCAAGGCTGGTATTCCAAAGTAGTAAGAAAGGGACTGCTCCATTAGTATAGATGTCGTCGTCTGCACGAGTTATGTAAGGCCCTGTCTCTACTTGTTAACGTTTACTCTGATCTTTTCTTCACAAATGCTGCCACACCTGCTGAGCTTTTCCAGCAACTTCTGTTTTTGTTCCTGTTGTTAAAGAATCCAAGGCTCCTTATACAACACTTTCCAAACCTAAATCTTCCACCAGCTAGAAGGTCAAAGCCAACAGATGCACAACAACATTGTCCACCTGCAAATTCCCTCTAGTCGCACACCACCCTGATTTGGCACCATTTCTTCACTGTTGATGGGTCAAAGACCTCCTAACAGCACTGCAGGGATCCTTACGGTCCAAAGAAGGCAGTGTTTCAAGAAGACAGATCACCATAAGCTTCTCTAGGGCAATTAGTGTTGGGCAAAAGATGCCAGCTTAGCTAGCAATGCCCACAGCCCATGAATAAATAAAAAAAAAATCCACTTGTATACTCACCTGAATATCTCCACCTAATTAATGACGCTGGACACGTTTGCAGAGTCAATGAGAGATCCACCAGCATTGAAAGATTGGCAGCCCTGCCATCAGAGGTGAGTGCTCCTAATGTAGATAGGAGAGAGCAGGGACTCTATGATGATGGGAGGTGTGGGAAGGGGCTGTATATAGGATGGAGCTGCTCCGCACCTCAACCCAATCTGCTGCCTCAGAGCTAACCCCCTTTCTTGGCCCTGTTTCAGCCTCAATTCTGCAGAATGATGTTATTAGATGCTTTTGTAGGCATGACAGGCTAGTCTCTGCTTGTGGGCAGTTAACACCGCCTAACAATCCAACCTGAATGAAAATGGCCTGGAGGTGAGACCATTGGCAAAGGACCAACACATCGGCTAGTCATAGGATATTGTAGGTGTGCCCACCCAGCTTCTCCCCCTCATGCAAACAAAAACCTGTCCAACATCTCAGAAACCATTTTTTTTTGCCTGGCTGGTTTATGGCTGAGAAAAATGTAGTTTTGTTACAGCCAAAGAAAGGTCTTCTTTTGAATATCAGAGTATTATAATTTTCTCAGGCAGGCTATTTCCTAATATTTCATTTATTTTCAGGCTGGGATTTACTGGATCAATTTAATTGACCATTTCTGTGCTGGATGGGGAATTCTTGTTGCTGCTATCGCGGAACTTGCCGGAATAAGTTGGATCTATGGTAAGTGGAGCAAGGACATCACTGAAATGAAATGAAATTAAATGGTCATATTTTGATAATAATACTTCTGTGGGCTCTTATCTGTTCAGAAGTAACAAGATGAATCATTTCATGCTGTGGCAGAAATAATCCTTCACAGATGACTAGGCACCCCAGTGTTCCCATTCCCTGTCAATTCTTTCCTCATTTGGGCCATTATGACTTAGACGATATCTCCTGCATCCTTTGCTGAAAAAGCTTCCTTTCTCTTATTGGGTTACGGTTAGTTAGATGTTGGGGTTAATCACAGAGCAATCGTTTTCCTGCCACTTGTTATTTGGAGGTCATTCAAACATCTACATCATGAGTCCTGTGTCTGTTTGCCACTGGACTCGGGCAGTTATCGATTTCTCCCAACTTGTGAGATAAATGGAACCACAGACAGGCTCTGCTGTATTATGTCCATGAGGTGGGTGAAATCCATTTGCTACTCTTCAGTATAAGACACAGGAACCATCTACCTCGCCCCATTCTCAGCACAGGTCTAAAGCGCAAACCTTTCTTTGAGGGAGTTCTTCAGGATTTGGAGGAACATTTTACTTTCATAGGGACAGGGAAAAACTTACTCGTGCTGTCCGAAAACCCTTCTCTGATTTACAAGCGGAATTTTCCAGCCCAGCCAGAGATGCGCAAGGTGAGGCCTCTTAATGAGGTGGCAGGCAAAAAATTTAGTTTCCTGAGGCAAACTGAAGGTTTGCTGGTAAGTTCTCAGAACGTTTCAGGTGGGGCACCTCTTTTGCTCTCATCAACATTCGTCATGAAATTTATTAACATCCCAGCCGCTGGAATTATGTTCACGGGGAACGTTTTGCTCGTCAGAGATATGAACCACGTGTATTTACAAACGCGACTACACATATTGGATGCAGACCTGACAGAGTAGGCAGTTTCTGCTGATTAGCAATTTGACTCCTTTATTTACGAGCTGTTTCTTTGCATAAATGCTTGGTGTAGCGGGTGAAGCCTGTCTATATTGATCAGCTCATGAGAGCTTCAGTAATGTGTGGTCTGGCTTGTTACTGAACACTCTACGGTGTAAGGAGTAGACTTGATCAGCAACACTGCCCAAGCGGGGCAACCATGTTGGCTGTTGCCAACAAACCTGGCTGGGCCAGGCAGCCAGGCCAAAACTCGGAAGTGAGTGGGACGTCAGAAGGCCATCCTTTGAGGGTGTGTAATTTGCCGAGGCAAGAGTTTGGTGAAAAGCTACCGGATGTGTATGTTTTCCTAGTTATGATGAAAGATCAGAGAGCCAGTGGTGTGTGATCTGCTGAATGTTGTAGCTCCTCTTACACTTTAAGCCTAGCAGATATGTGACAGGTGATACCTGTGTGCTACCTGTGGTCCTAACTGGTGAATTCCAATGAAGTGACAGTCAATGATTGCATCCGGACATGCCTGGCGCTAACCTCCTGAGTGACGGTCCTCCGCAATTCCAACCTTACAATGCGAATTCACCCTGATAGGAGCTTGAAGCATTGACTGACACATACCCTGATGGAGCACAGTAGACCATTCATCCTCTTTTGGCACAGGTCCCAGACTCTCACAAACCATCCAAGAGTGCTGATTTCTGCAACCTCCTCTGTCTTCATCAGTCAGAATGGCCTTTTGTTGTCATCCCTAGAGAAAAGCCCTTTCCTTATCTTGGGATAGATTTCAGCAGAACTTCTAGGGGAGGTGTCGTTCATGCATGGCACCATTTCTTGTCTGACCTCTGACATCGACAGGTGTGCGTATGCGTGATGAGTTGAGATTAGATTAACTCCTGGGTGTCTCGGAGTTATGTGCTGCATAATCCTTGTACTAAACCTGTTCATTCGTGCCACCCAGTACAAGATAAGCTTCTACAGTAAACAAGCTGCTCTGAAGACAGGACAGAGCGAGTGATGGTGTCTCTCTACTTCCTTGTTGTTCACAGGGGTAAACAGATTCATCAAGGACATTGAGATGATGATTGGGGAAAAGAATTGGCTCTTCTGGCTGTGGTGGAGAGCCTGTTGGTTTTTTATCACTCCGTGTTTGCTCATGGTAAGTAAATATTACATCTTTTAGTGAACAAAAATGAAAATATCAACCTGCAGATGATCTTTTGTTGCGTTATTGATCTGTGATTTGTAAAATCTTTTAATCCAGGCAATCTTAATCTGGTCCTTAGTAACATTTGTACCACCAACATATGGAAAACTAGAATACCCTGCATGGGCAACAGCACTCGGCTGGTGTATGATCATCTTCATTATTTTGTGGATCCCCGTTGTAGCTATTATGAAAATTGTCCAAAGCAAGGGCTCCAATTTGTGGCAGGTAAGGAAACATGTTGATCAATTCTGTCTGTGTGGTGTAACAGAAAATCAGATCCCTTCACTAGTCTACTCAGCTCCAAAGTTGTGCTCCTGTTAACAATTTCTGCAGAGTATCATCCAATGTGCTCTCACTCACACACACACCATCACCTATTGTTGTGGTTTAGGTTAATAAAATTTAAAATGCATCCCAACTAACAGTGGAAGTATATACTCTACTGAGTTTTGCATCTCACAGTCAGTTTGGATACTAATTGTGACTGCGGAGAGCTGCAGATACAGGGGTCAGTGTTCTGTTGGCTTGATGGGTGATTTGCAATGCCAAGTGATGCTAACAATGATTCAATTCCCACACTGGCTGAGGTCATCATGAAGGTCATATCTTGACCCTTGCCTGAGGTGTTGGTGACCCTCAAGTTAAACTCACCCAACTCTCTCTAATGAGCCTCTGGTGACCTTCAACCTCACAATAATAGATATTGAGCTAAATCAGAATTACATAAAATTAAAGTCAGAGTGTATGATTATAAAATACGGACTTAAGCATTGCTGTGTGCTATGGTCCAGGTATTCCCTGCCCTCTAACCTTTCATCATATCCTCGGGAGGGAAATCGAGTCGTACTTTTGAATAATTTCTGAATTTATAGAATATGAACCATGTTTAATGCTCGGAAATAAACAGTGCCAACATGCTGCATTCATGTAGCCACCATGTTGGAGAAGACAAAAGACTTCGGTTTTGGTTCCTCCATTGTTTACTCCACTCTGTTGAGCATTTCTTTGACTGTTTGCTCCATTATCATTAACAGAATTTGGCCAAGGATGCTGCTCTGTCGCAATCCCTCCATAACCGTCTTTTTTTTAATATAACCTCTTCAGACCAAGCTTCCCATCAATTCCCCAGATCTCCTCCTTCTGACCTAGCACCTATATCCTGTATAGTTACTGCGGAATGCTTTGAAAACAAGGCAGCACAGTGGCTCAGTGGTTAGCACTGCTGCCTGACAGTGCCACGGATCTGAGTTTGATTCCAGCCTCAGCCTTACGTACAGTTTGTACACTGTCCATGTGGGTTTCCTCTAGGTACTCTGGTTTCCTACCACAGTCCAAAGACATAGAGGTTAGATGGATTGGCCATGTTAAATTGCCCCGCGCTGTCCAGGGATGTGTAGGTGGATTTGCCATGGTAAAAAATAATGTGTGAGATTACAAAGAGAGGGAGGAGGGTCTGGGCGAGATGCTCTTCAGAGGGTCAATGTCGACTCAATTAGCCGAATGGCCTGCTTCTGCATTGTAGGGATTCTGTGGTTTTTATCTCGACGTTAAGGGTACAATATACATAGAAGTTGTCGTGACGAATGGGAAAGACAGTTGGAGTTGTATGGAAATAAGTAATAGCGTGTCAACAGGCCTTTTGGTAATGTACTGGAATAAAATTGCAGTTTCATCGAGGAGCACTGTAACATAAGAAACAATGCACAGGCCACTCAGCCCCTCAAGCCTGTTCTGCCATTAGGAATGGCCATTTTCATAATCTCTCTACTTGGTTCCATGTACAATTACTTAAACATTTTCTTTCCACAGAAAATTGTTGCAGCCTCCAAGCCAACTCCAGACTGGGGCCCATACTTGAAAAAACACAGAGGAGAAAGATATGACACTAATCAGGACTCTACACAAACTGGCATTCCTGAGATGTCAAAATTTTAAGGGACATTTTCAGTTCCATTGATACACATCAACCAAATCAAATTATCAAAATGCACAATGCCTCTGGAATTTTGCCAGCATGGATCGCTTATCAGGAATTTGGGCTTGCATTTCATGAGCAAATCATAGGGAGCAGATGGCTGAATTCCCATTGAGGATTTCCAATGAGCTAGGCCCTTGGTTCGAAGTATGCATTCATAAAATTGCCCCCTTTCAGTTTCACTCAGAAAATGTTGGCTCAGATTTTCTGATGGCCAGGCAGTCATTCCTGCAGCACAGAATGGGATTTGCTAATGGGAACGCTGCAGACTCCCTGAGGTAGCAGACTCTGAGGGCATTGCCTGGGCAATTGAAGATTCCAATGGACAATTTCCCTATGTGTGGAATACTCCAAAAAGTATCCATTTAAATCGAAGAATTCAGAGGCTATCAATGCTGTTAAGCAAGTGGCTACCCTGAAAGTGTTACATCATTAAAAGTCCATTCTAACCCCACACACACACACAACTATATCTCCCCTTATACTGGAATGCAACAAACACCAATTTGACTCTGATTGTCACTCCTTGAAAAATCCAACTCTGTCTATAGCAATACGAAGGAGGAATGAGAAAGTTTAAACAAAGACTAAGGCTTTTTTAGGCGTGAATGAAGTAAATTTGATTTTTTTTTCACAAAAGTGCCTCCTCTCCTTCTTCCAAGACTGGCTTCTGGTAGAAAGTATAGCGATTTAGTGATGGGATACTGGACTCTGTTGCGTTAATTCAGAAAGCAGATATTATTATATCCTTCTTGTACTCTAAATGATAAACTGTTAGGTACACAAATAAAAATTGTGTAACTCAGCTCAAATTACAGGACAGAATTATTCATTAGCCTGCACATGCCAAAGGGACTTGATTGGCAATTTCACGTAAAGTTAAATACACACCATAAATACTTTGCTTGCAAATTTTTGGCTTTACTTTCAATGAGGAGGAATTCACCTCCTTATAATCACAGTTAAGGAGTTGTCTAAATGTCAATGGATGGCTTCCAAAAACAAGAAATGTTTGAAATTCCTTGCAGTTGCAGGCTTGGTCAAATACCACCCCAGTGCATTGGGCGAATAAAAACAGTTTGATTTCTCCAGTCACTGTCAAACAATGTTTGCTGTGTTAACATATCTACTCCACAGTTACAACTCAACTGAGTGAAAATACAAATATCAGATGCAGTCGTATACAAATTTTGAATAGGTTTAGGCCATTCGGTCCCTACTGTGCCAATCGATAAGATCACGGCTGATCTAATTGTGGGCCACTTTCCCGCCTACCTCTGAAACCATGTGTCAACCTTGGTACTTGACAATCTGTCTACCTCTGCCTTAACAATATTGAGTGAGCTTCCCTCCACCACTCTCTGGGCAAGAAAATTGCACAGACTCACAACTCTCTCTGAGGGAAATCATTTCTCTCCATCTCTGTCTTAAATAGAAGACTGCTTACTCTTAAACTGTGCCCCCTAATTGTAGTCTCTTTCACAAGGGGGAACATCCTCTCTCAAGGGCAACTGGGGGTGGGCAATAAATGCTGGCCAGACATGCCCACATTCCCACAAGTGATTGAACAAAAAACTCCCTTTCATAGTCCCCTCAGGATCTTATTTTTCAATAAGATCACCTCTTATTCTTCTAAACTTCAATGGATACAGGCCCAAACTATCCAGCCTGTCATCGTAAGATAAATTCTTCATCGCAGGATTTTCAAAATATTCAAAGTCAGAATGTAGAACTGTTCATGGGTATTAATTCAAGATCTATGAATCCCTGCAAAATGATTTAATAACATAGGACAAAATACATTGCACTAGAGTGTGGTGATCAGAGGAGTGAAACTTACGTAACATAGCATTAGGACTGACAACATGGGCTGTATAGCTGTCAATTAAGCTGTATGTTTCCATGGAGATAGCAGCAAATAAGATTATCGTTTATTGAGAATTCTAAGACGTCCTACTAGGGTAAAGCTGAAATAGAACAAAGAATGAAATAGACCTATTTTGAGTTGAAGGCTGTGTTTCTGCATTGGATTATATTATATTTTTAAAATAAAATAATTTCAACTCACTGAAAGGTTTCTATCTCTGTGTTTGTTTCCTATGAATGAATGGGTAGGATTTTCACTCCATTTTGGTCAGTCAGTAGGCTGGCTGATATTTTTTTCCTTTATTCATTCACGGGATGAGGGCGTCACTGGCCAGGCAGCATTCATTACCCATCCCTAATTGCCCAGAGGGCAGTTATGAGTCAACCACATTGTTGTGGGTCTGGAGTCACATGTAGGCCAGACCAGATAAGGATGGCAGTTTCCTTCCCTAAAGGACATTAGTGAACCAGATGGGATTTTTCCCCCAACAATGGACTCATGGTCATCATTAGACTCTGAGTTCCAGATATTTATTGAATTCAAATTCCACCATCTGCCGTGGTGGGATTCAAACCCAGATCCCCAGAACATTATGTGGGTCTCTGGATTAACAGTCCAGCGATAATACCGCTCGGCCATTGCCTCCCTGTCAGCACAATGTAATCGGAGTTTATGAAGGCTTACTGTCAGAGGCCAACTGGTATCCCAGAAGGCATCAGCACTTGGCCCTCAGACTTGATAAGGCCTCCCAGCCCCAGACTGGGAGACAACTCAGCACCCCCCACCCCGGCCAACCTCCATCTACATGGCAACACCTGTTGATGGAGGCTGTCTTGTGGAAGTGGTGCCAATGTGCATGGCGTTCCTCTACCTCCATAGTTTCCTGGCTGCTGAGGACCAATTTCAATCTGAAGGTTTTAAAAAATGCAGAGCAGCCATGACTCAAGATAATGGCTGCCCTCTTCTCTCTCTCTCTCTCTCTCTCTCTCTCTCTCTGGCTGAACTGCTCCTTCCAAACTGAAGACCCTCCTACTGTCCCTCTAGGCCTGAGCCCTGCCTGAGTCCACCCTGTGCTGATTAATAAACTAATTCTGGGAATAACACTGCAGAGGTGACTACTTTCCTTCATAGCGCAGGCTTATGACCCTTAATTGACCCCACAACCGAGCTCCCAATCGATTTGATCAAAAATGTCAGATTCCTCCTTCGTTTTGAAATTTGAAACTAGTTCAATCCCCCCCAGTTACTCCTCCTAAGATCCAATTTCAACCTGCCATCCTGAGCTTTGATCTGCCCGAAAACCAACCTGGAGTTAAAGTGTAGACCACCTCCTTTACACTGTTTGTTTGAACATTACTTCCCAATTAAATGAGCATAACTGAGCTATTCAGCTGTATTGATCAACACAACATCACATCAGCTATCAAGGTTATTTTGACTTTCCTCTGCAAGTGTATTTGCAATTTATGAGTATGAAACTGGGAGTTTGCTAACTGTTAACAACGTTGGATTATGGACAGATATCCAAAACAATCTCAACTACTTCAGTTGAGAAGAAATGCTGAAAATGTAAACAAGGGCTGCTCTAGAGTCATCAGCTGAATGCAACTCTTACTTACCTGCCTTCTAAGGGATGCAAACATATTAAGATCCAGTCTAACAAGCACAAAACTGCTCACTCATCCTTACAAAGCATTTTGAATGATTAAGGACCAGAAATACAAAGAGCAAAACATTTCACTTGTGCAGTCTGAGTGGGGATGGGGTTAGGAAGACACATCAGGCACCTCAGAAATGGCTTTACCTGACCATGACTGCACCGCCACCACTAAATTTGATTACTACAGAGATTTTTTTTTTTCACCTTCACAAGTTTAAGTTTCATTTCAGCTAAAATGATTTCAAAATATTTCTCTTTCACTAAACATTGAAAAGAACCTCAGTCAAATTTGAGAGGTGGTCATGTGGAAAAACAATAATATGGGCAATTTTACCCATTATCTACGTTTGGGAGTGAGTACGTTAAGTGCTAATTCATTCATCGTCTCTGCTAACATGAGCTAGCACTGTTTCACCCACCAAACAGCTCACTAAGAGCCAACACGAGAGTGAGGGTATGTTTCTCCCCTATCAGAGGCCTTGACATAGCAGAAGCTGCTGACCAATCAGAGGCCAACATTCTAAAGATCCCCCAGTTGAAGCCTACTCCTTGGGGTATCCAGCAGCAAGAAGCCAAGTTTTTTTTTCCCTTATTCTTTCAAGGGGAACCAACCGAGTTTTTATATTCATTCACGGGATACAGGTGTCACTGACTGGGCCAGTATTTATTGCCCATCACTAATTGCCCAGAGGGCAGTTAAGAGTCAACCACACCACCATGGGTCTGGAGTCATATGTAGGCCAGACCAAGTAAGGACAGCAACTTTCCTTCCCTAAAAGGACATTAGTGAACCAGATGGGTTTTTCTGACAAATGACAACAGTTTCATGGTCATCATTAGGCTCTCGATGCCGGATTTTTATTGAGTGCAGATTCCACCTTCTGCCGTGTCGGGATTCAAACTTGGATCCCCAGAACATTACCCGAGCCTCATGGTCCAGTGATTATACCACTAGGCCATCTCTTCAGAAATTAATCAGAAAGCCAAACAAAATACTGAGCTCTAAGTTCAATGGATGAGAATATAAGAAGGGAGAAGTTAAGGTACAATTCGACCATACGTGGAGAACTATACTCTCAATTCAGGGCACCACACTTCAAGGCGGTTATAGTGGTATTGATGGAAACTGCAGGTTAAGTGGAGTTGGATCACACTCAACCATGATCTCATTGAATGATGTAACAGGCTCGAGGGCCTAAGTTGCCTATTGGCAGTTCCTATTTGGCTACATTCCCTAAGAAACGCCCAGGTCTATCGAGGACGTGTAAAAAGCTACCTCCACCTACTTGTGCACCACACATGAAAAGTAATGTCAGAGATAAAAGAATTGAATTAGCGCAGGCAAAGTGCGAGTATGGTGCATGTTATATTTATAAAAACGAACATGTTTCATTTACTGAAACAGATCAATGTGACTGAGTGCCGTATAACAGAAATCTTCAATTGTCTCACGAGGTAGCTAGGCAGTCCCAATCTCCCAGGGCTGGTGATGCCAAAACTCTTCTGATTTCTATTCCTTCCTTCTCAGCTCTTCTGTTGCCAGATATTTGGAGGTCCACCTTCTTTACTAGTCTTTTTTCCTCTACTTTGTGCTCTCTTGCTCCTACAGTGAGGGAAAGAACGAGTCTATGAGTTACTGCAAAGGAACTTGTTCACGCAATAGGTGGAGCGCATTGTATTTCATGACAAAGTATCTCAAAGGAAGCAATGAAATAATGTAAGGGTGAGTGCGTGTTGCAGAGGTGTGTGCACTAATGGAAACGTGAGAAAGTGCAGAGAGGCAGCAGGATGTGTGCATCCACAGGGCAGGTATGTGTTAGGACCAATGTGAACTATGCTTGGCAACACAGACTGCGGGGAGTTAGGGGATGCACGCACCAGGATATACGTGAATGTGCAACACTTACCTGTCCTAGGCAGAGTATTAAATACTTCCTGCATTGCCCCCAAAAGAGGGGCACAGCACACTCCTGCTGTTAGCCTACTGGGCAACCTGTAGCCACACATTCTTTGGTTTGGACTCAGATGTTTCACCCTGCAGTTGCCAAGGAGTAATATGTTTGACTAATTCCTCACAGCACACAGCAGTGCATCAACAAAGATATCTGCGAACTGGATCCTCGATGTCTTGAATCCATCGTCGAGGTTGCTCCTCTCTTCATTCCAGTCTCTAAAATTGCATTTTAAATGGGCCCTTTTCAACACTGGAGGTCAGATCTGCAGTGATTATCACGAGGTCAGCTAGGTGGACTTCTTAGAATATGAGTTCCCTGTTTGGGGCTGTTAATCTGGTCCAATCAGGGAGCCCTGGCTGACAAATAAGAACAGGAGTGTCAGAGGTTCTGCTCACTCTGAGAGCTGGCTCTGAGGGAGCTAGAACAATGCCAAGGACTCTCCACATGTAAACAAAGGGGGACTTGGTGACAGGGTACCAGCCTCTGTGGAGTTATTTCAAGATCGTTTCAGGCAAGTTCTTATTATATCCACCACCATGGGCTGGATAGCAGAGCTGGAGGTAAAATTCTAATATGTTCGCCAAGTTAAAAAGTCGCTGATAGCAGG